TAATAACAACCAATCAAATTTCAGGATCAGGTGCAATGTGATTGTCAAAACAAACGTGTTTTGTTTTCTAAGTAAAAAGTTACACACAAAATTAAAGTTAAGAAACCCGCATTAAAGTTAGAGGTTTTTTTTTTTTTTGAATGTTAATGGTGAGACTATGTCTCTATTTTTATTTAAATTTAATTCGATTCTCTTACAATAAAAAGAATACATTTAAACTCCATATCCTAAGATAACAACATTAAAATTAGGGTTAGAACTAGGATAATGTAATGCTTATATATAAAATTTTACAAGGAATATTTTTTATTAGACCACAGAAGGCAGTTTCCTAATTAAAATTTAGAGTTATTCTTGTTGTTTTGCTTTATCTCAATTTTCATATTACACCTGATCCTGAAATTTGATTGGTTGTTATTACAAAGGTGGAAAAAATTTTGTGGGTCAGCTAGGGACTTTCATCAATATATGGACGCTTTTCAATAAAAAAGGGAAAAAAGTTTTTAGTACCTTTTTTTAATTTTAAATTGAAATATCTCAATAGAGAATTTCTATTTGTACATGGGGTGTATATACACAGAGTATATGTACATGGGTAATATATATATCTCAAAATATTGATTATGAAACCACCTTTTGGCTTCTAACAAAAAAAATTCCTTGTAAAATTTTGGTATAGGCTATACCTCGCCCAATCCCAAATCTCTCTTACTCTAATCATAAGCAACATTTAATTTTTCATTTGTAAAAATTGTTTTGATTGGCATGTTACACAAATCTGTAATTTAATAAATTATACCCATGTACAAACACTCCATGTTTACTTAGTAATTTTCATCTCAATAACTACTAAATTAAATTTAATAAAATTTTTTTTTAATTTTATAATTTTATAGAATTAAAATAAAAAAAAATTATTAAATTTAGTTTAATAGTTGTTGAGATATTTTAATTGAAAGTTAAAAACTTTTACTTAGGAGAAATCTCCCCCTTTCTATTGAAAAGTCCCAATTATAGAATCATAAATTACTTAATAAAATTGATTATCTGATCAATAAAATTACTTTAATATTTATGTAATCTATTTCACTAGTTTTTGATTAAAAACCTAATAAAATAGGTTGCACAAACTTTATTGGTCAGATAATTAGTTTTATTAGTTAAAATTTTATTTGATTTAGAGTAACTTAATTTTGTAATTGGATTTTGATGGTTTTGGAATTGCTAAAATCACCTTATTAAGAAGATTTGTTTGGTAATAAAATCGTCTAAAATAAACAAGTTATATTCAAATTTTTATTAAACAATGTGATTATAGCTGATTATTGTAGAAGTTAACTGTAACAAAAGAATTATCATATTAGATTTAGAAGTTAACTGTAACAAAAGAATTACAGTATCATATTAGATTTAGTAGATATAGTTGTATATACTGTATATATATAAGTAGTACTTCTGTATAAGCTAATAAAAAATTAATAAAAAAAAAGTCAAAATAATCAAAATACAGTACAGTCGTCCCTCCATATAGTCACCTCCCATATAATCACATCATATGTAATCACATTTATGTTTGGGCCAAACTATGCTTTAATTTATAAAAAAAAGACCTCCATATAAGCACAACTTCTATATAAGCACATTTTGAAAAAAATTTAGTATGTGCCCAACTGTGTGATTTTATGGAAGGACGACTGTATAAAATTAAATAAAATTTTTATTAAGTTGGATTATATAAATAGTTATTAAGATATTTTGAAAAAAGTTACTAAAAAATGATTTGTCCCATTTATATTGACTCTTGTCTATATTTTTTTATTTAAATAAAAATAAATAAATATTCTTAAATATTTATAATAATAATATAATTATATAAAAAATAATTATATGAATATATCTTAATTGATTTTTTAAAAATATAATAGAAACTATAAGACGATTGTGCTTATATAAAGAAATAAATAATACTACAAAAAATCAGAGTCTAATAGAGATTGGAAAAGAAAAAAAATAAAGTTGTGTTTTTTCCGAATTGTTATACTGACTACAGATCGTTCACGGGATCTAAAATCCTCAAACAGACATTGCATAGATATGCTTAGAAATATGGGTCCTCGCTACGCTTCTAACAATAAAAAAAATTGGTAAAAATAAAAAAAGTGACTACAGTCAGACCTCCCTAAATGCACCCTCCCTAAATGCACGCTATATGAAAAATCCCTCTAAATGCACTCCTCTGCTTGGTCCCAAGTAATATAACAATTATAGATTTAAACCTCTCAAATGCACACCCTCACAAAATGCACTTTTTGAAATTGTTTACTATGGTCCCGAGGGTGTGCATTTAGAGAGGTCTGACTGTATATGGAGTTTGTTACTATATAGGAGGTGATTATAGAGAGGTCTGGTTGTATATCACTTTTCACGCGGGAGTAACTTCGAGAGAAGAACGAATAAATAAAGTAGTATAAAGATATTGCTCGCCATTAAAATCGTTTAGTGGGACATAACGATACCCTAAGAAAGTAAAGTAGATTCAAGAATACTTGATAGGTAAAAAAATATATATATATATATGTATATAAATATAAAATAAAATTCTCACCAAATTGTAAGCTAGTTAAGGGAATGCAATAAGACGCAATGAATTTATCATTGCTAACATTATCATCCCAAATAACGAATCTTTATAAATTCAGATAATTAATGATTTTTAACGTTCATTTAAACGAATTATGCATTAATAACATTTTCAATAGGATTAGATTTATTTACCGCAAAAATACCAAACTCATTTCTTCACAATTAAATGTAAATTTTAAAGTTTCATTCCACGTAGGGTCAAAGCCGTTATCGGAAATAGTGCAAGTCTCTTTTTTTATAGCATCATTTCCAGGGATGAGCAATTCTACTCCAACAAATGGATCAATTACCTTGTCTAGAAGGGCATCTCCTAGTTTAGGGAGCCGTTGTGCAGAAATTATCTATTTCGATGTATTAAGCAAAAGCGAAATGTGTATCAATTTGTGAAATAAATAAAGTCGAATTCAAACACAAAATTTGCATACTTCAATTGTCAAAGTTTGAGTTGGGGGAGCCGGAGAAATGATATCGGGATTGCGCAGTCGCTCTGGTTTGAGTACATAACCACATCTGCCATTAACAGCAAACATGGCATGATCGATTTGCATTCCTAGGTCTTGAAATAATTCAAGAAAAAAGGTTATATAAAATGGTATAAACGAAAAAAAAGTTAAAGTCAGAACTAACCAAAAGTCTGCCAATTTAGGGAGACTAATTGGCTCCCACCAATCCATTGATTATGCGGTTTATAATTTGACGAGTCTATCCGAAGACCCGACGGATATATGCGAGTTAATTGGCGTGTATTGTGCCGAATCAAAGCATCCTTTTCAGATTCTATGAGCCTTGTAGAAGCTTTATTACTAAAGGAAGACAAGTGATAGTACATCGAATTCTCTACACATTTATAGTTTATGATGTTATTAATTTTTAGGAAAATGTAATCCCTAAATCTTTAGTTTGATAAGCATACCGCGATGATCAAATCCTTTAAATTTAACAGCAACGCTGTAGATTATTAAGTCTGAAAGGGATTGTGCAATTTTCAATTTAGCCTTTTTTTCTTTTTCTATCAAATATAAGAATGAAAGTCGTAAGAATATTATTATTAACAGATAAATACATTAATAGGCATCTTAAAAAGACGCACCTTTAGATGATTCAACATTTGATTCAGGATCAGATTCAGTATCAGTGGTTGAGTCAACATTGTTTTCTGATGATTCAGGAAGTTTTTTCCCCTGATTATGAAGGTTTAAGATTCATATAGTCATGTGTGTTGATAATGTTCGATAAGAAATTCATAAGAAAAATCTATCACCAATTATAAGATTCTTACTTTTAATATTATTTTATATAACAAACTTGCAGGACTCGGTAATTCTGTTTCGTTTTCTGATAAGGAATTAGTGACGAGATATTCACCCAGAGTGTTACGTAAAATAGAAACCATTTGGTTTTGTTGATCAATACTACAATGAACTTCAAGTGATAGTATTAGTGGATATGGACTGGTTTTGAATGCATAAGTACGGATCGTTGAAATAACGTCTTGAAACATGATTTTAGATGTTCTAATTTATGATAAAACTTGTCACTAATTAAATTATAATTATAACGAAAATAACATACAAGTTAAAATTTAATTACAATGTATGACCATGAGTAACTATGGGACCATCAGGTCCGTCCCAGCAATCAACTAGAAGAAATAACAAATATGGCTTATAAGTAATTTATAAGAATATAAAGAATATAATAAAATTTTTTGCAAATATAAAGAAGTTTTAATTTGCGTATTAGATAAATTTATATTCATACGTTCAACACAACGACATCCTCTTTGTAACACGTGTATGTATCCTTCTACTGAGGATTCACCTGTCAGTTGAAGTCCTAGAAGATATCTAAATGATCAAATAAATCCATAAAAAAATAAATAATTAAATAATCAAATAATTAACCAATTAATTAACGGACTTTTAAAGATATTCTGGCGTACGTATTGTGCGAAGAATCGATGAAATAATGACTTAATGGTTGTGTCATGTCTTGATAAACTTTGGTGTGTTCCGGAGCAAAAATGAAGTTGTCGCTAGACATGAGGAAATAACTAAAACCCTCTAAAGTCATCTCCTTGAGGTCTTTATCACAAAATTTATAATACAAATTATCGTATTCTTCTTCTTTCAAGGCGCACTAACTCATTATAAAATAATGATGTTAATTAAAGTATCTATCTAATAAACTCAATTAAAATACACACTTTTTGAACATTGACGAGGAAATTTTTGAATTCACGAAGTGTCAATGTATTTATGCGCTCTTTCGCCAGAGAACTAAATAGTTTATCTAGTTCAACCCTTTTATTAATTAACTTAATAAAGCGCAGAAAATCAGTAAAATCAAGCAGACCATCCCCTTTTTCATCTGCTTCCTAGAATTAGGATTATCAGAAATTAAGACTTAAATAAAAAAATAAAGATAGTTATTCAGCCTAACAATCATGTAACAATACAAACTTTAAATTTTGTTTTACGCAGCGACTTTGGCATGTTTATATTCAAACGACGACATAACTTTGTGACGTCATCAAAATCTAATCGTGAATTGCCATCTTTATCAGCCTGCTTCCATTGTTGCTCCAGCAATAAATACTGCCGTTTTCTCAAATGACCTAACCCTCCTATAATATTCCTTCTGTGCAAATATAATTTTTCCAAATTATTAACCCATAAATTAAATAATTCTAAAGTCGGAGCGACTAAGTGAAGAGTTTTATATTTTCCAAAATCAACATAAATGATAGTGAACCATCGAGGTTCAAAATCCACACCAAGATTGAAATGATCCCTATAACTTCTTATTGTTTCACCAATTAGAAGTTCCTTGATACTTTCAATGTTGACTAATGAAGACGGACGAAGACAGACAAGCATGAAAATTAAAATGAAGATCAAAATATTTTTGTCAAATTAATAAAATAATATTGTGCCTTGTCCGGATTTTTTGGAATCCCATAGTATTCGACCTTGATCAGCATCAATCCTGAAGACTTTTTGTTGTTTCTTTTTTAATGAAACTTTTAAAAGAGCAGTTCCCTCGGTGAGACACTGTTCAACAATAATCTCGCTTGTTATCATTACAAAAAAAATTTTTTTTTAAAAAATAAAAATAAAAATAAAAAATTGGAATGCTACTGTAACGATTAAGTTTATGTCCTTTTAAAAACCTCAATCATTTATATAGAATTTCAGTGTTGTCACGGGACGGTTGTGGACAAATAAAATTGCTCAAAATTAACCTATTTTAACTAGGGATGTTAAAAGTTCGGTTCGGTCCTGTTCGGTCCTGTTTCATAAAAGTTTGAGTTCAGAAACAGTTCGAAAAAAAGTTTAAAAAATATCAT